ATACAGGTGTAGGCATTTCAATTTTTAAAGAAAATACTGTCCATAAATTCCCCAATCGTTCCGAAGAAATCGTAACCATTCAAGGTATCACCGATAAAAAACTCCAGATTCGTGAATCAATGCTTGTACCGTTTACCCTCCAAGATCCTCACAAAGTGTATATTTACAACTTGAATATTGATTTCGATGAAATTTTAGGGTTGGATTTCCTAAAACATTATCAATGAATTGAAAGCTAAAGAACTTGTAACTAACTTCAAAATTATCCCTCTTCATAAAGTTACTGAGGATGACTACCCTAATATACAAAACCAAACATCACTCAAACAATTCTGAACAAAATATCTATAGAAGCTAGAAGTGAAAAGATCTTTAAACCCAAGTGTAATCTATCCAACACAGATGCTTTATACTCTTTTCTCAAGAAGAAGAAAAAGTCAAATTACCTTATGCCCTAGTAAAAGTTAATGAACAAGGTGAATTTTTAACCTCAATTGTAGATATTAACGCCATGGACAAAACCGTAGAGTTTTCGAACTTGTATATCAAACCATTTGTCTCAGAAAGTGAAAGTCAAACAACCATTCTTTATTTTAACAACTCTATCCTCGAAGGTGACCATACTTATGATAGGCAAATGTCCATACAAAATGAACTTCGTACAGAACATTTAAACGATGAGAAAAAAGAACTAATTACCAACTTATGCCTGAACTTTTCCAACATTTTCTACCTGGAAGGTGACACGCTCACATTTACTAGTGAGATTAAACACCCTATTGACACCAATAATGCAAAGTCTGTGTATACCAAATCTTACAGGTACTCCCAAATCCACAAAGAAGAAGTCAAATCCCAAGTTAGCAAAATTCTAGACCAAGGCATAATTTGCCATTCTGTATCTCCATGGTCTTCTCCCCTCTGGGTCGTTCCTAAGAAACTTGATTCTTCTGGCAAACCCAAATGTCGAGTCGTAATCGACTACCGTAAAGTCAATGAACTGACTGTGAACGACAAATACCCGCTGCCTAATATTTCCGATCTTCTGGATCAATTGGGAAAATGTCAATATTTTACAACCCTTGACCTAGCCTCAGGTTTTCACCAAATAGAAGTAGATCCCAAGGATGTTTCAAAAACCGCTTTTTCCGTAGAAAATGGCCATTACGAATCCGTTCGTATGCCCTTTGGATTGAAAAATGCCCCGTCCACATTCCAAAGAGTCATGGACAATATTCTCCTCGGCATTCAAAACGAAAGATGCTTAGTCTACATGAACGATATTATCAGTTACTCTCCTACCATCCACGAACATATTTCAAGGCTCCTCCGTAGAGCTAACTTAAAAATCCAGCCGGACAAATGTGAGTTTCTTCGAAAAGAAGTAGCTTACCTGGGACACCTTATCACTCAAGACAATGTAAAACCGAACCCTGCAAAAATTAGTTGTATTCAGAACTTCCCAACACCCAAAAATCCAAAAGACATTAAATCCTTTCTAGGATTAGCAGGATATTATCGTCGATTTATCCCCAATTTTGCTAAAACATCAAAGCCCTTGACTAAACTCCTCCAGAAAGATGTTCCATTTCACTTTAATCCAGAATGGGTATCCGCATTCAACGAGTTGAAAAATGCACCTGTTTCTGACCCGATTCTGATCTATCCCAATTTCGAAGAGACATTTCTATCAACCACCGACGCAAGCACTTTTGCCATCGGTGCAGTTTTGTCACAAGGCCCTATAGAAAAAGATCACCCTATAGCCTATGCCTCTCGAACGCTGTGCAATGCCGAAACTAAATACTCTACCATAGAGAGAGAATTACTGGCCATTGTATGGGCAGTTAAACATTTTAGACCTTATCTTTTTGGTCGAAAATTTGTCCTTATCACAGACCATTGCCCTTTAACTTGGCTTTTCTCAATTAAAGACCCTGAAAGTCGTTTAGCTCGCTGGCGCTTGAAACTCGAAGAATACGACTATCGAATGAAGTATAAACCTGGAAAAATCAATAAGAACGCTGATGCCCTATCTCGAATAAAAGTAAACCACTTTAAAGATTGTTCAGATTTAAGCTCCAAAATTCACATACTCGCTTCTAACAAAGAAGAACCTGATATTGACGATATAAAAAAACCGCCCCTCTACAAGTCAACAACAAAAAATTCCAATCGTCGAAATTGAAAACAATAATGAAACAACCCTAATTGAGGAAGAATACAACTCCTTCATAAATCTCTACAAAAATAGATCAATTATTGACTACTCAAAGATAGAGATTTCCAACCGAGTTTTCAACCTACAACTTCTGGACAAGTCTCACATAAATATTGTAACGTTTTTTTAGCAAACCTAACTAACAGACTTACATTACAAAATTATAGATGATCTATTCGAGGAAAATTTCGATCTTCAACCTAATCAGGGCAACATTTTATCCAGCAAATCTGTGAAGGCACGCAAATACTTCATAATTCTCATTCGTTGCAAAAATGAGAAAACAGTCCCTTCCCTCTTTTACTCGCTTTTTAAATGTCAAAACGAATTTGATCCTGTTATATTTGCCGAAAGACATTAAACTTAAGATATGCCAAAATATCGTCAAAACCCCAGATCAAGACCAAATTCCAATTATCCTGAACCAATATCATACTGGAAAAACAAATTTACATCGTGAAATCAATGAAACCGTTAGAAGGATTAAAGACAAATACTCCTGGCAAAGTTTAACCAAAGATGTTGGGAAATTCATCAGAGCCTGTGAAATCTGCCAAAAAGTCAAAATCTGTAGGAAAAATTTTAGTTCTCCTCTCGTTATCACTGAGACCCCCAAAACTCCATTTGAAAGGATAAACATTGACCTTTTTGAATTCCCAGCTCGTAACTATGCCCTATCACTCAAGCCTACCCAATCTCAGACAAAAAGGCGTCCACAATTGTTAACACCCTACTAGTATTATTCCAACATTACGGTACACCTTTGAGAATGCACTGCAATTGTGGAGGTGAATTCAACAACGCCTTACTCAAAGACCTCTGTCAACTCTACGACATAAAATTGACATTTTCAAGCGTAAGCCACCCACAATCCAACGGATCGCTGGAAAGATTCCATGCAACTTTAACGGAGATAGTCCGCGTTCACAAAGCGGAACATCCAGATGAACATCCATTCAACATTCTTCCGTACGCAGCTATCTGTTATATTAATACCAAAGATAAGACACACAGATTCACACTTTTCAAATTAATCTTTGGCTATACGTCGAATAGACCCCCTGAGACTCTTTATAATTCAAAACACCTAATCTCCAAATACATACGAGACCTCAACAACAGAATGGAATATTATTATAGAATGGCTCGAGCCAGAAAGAAAAGTCGAAAGTAAGGTTTGACAAGACGGTCTCACAAAATCTCCCAGAATATAAAGCAGGTGACAAGGTGTATGTCAAATAAACTCAAAAATATATCGCGAGAGACGACGATTTTTTATTGTACATATTACTTCAAAGCCTGGATCTGTACATATTACTGCAAACCTCTTGATAATAACACAAGGATATGTTCTGACCTTCTACAATACCCTATAGACAGTGATGACATTTGCGAAGTCCAATTCCTGAAGTCAACAGGAACACTTCTCAAGACTTGCCAAACCTCAATTTTACTCGCTAGTGACTACAATGTGCAAGAACTAGACACAAACTACTGGCTCATAACATTATCATCGTCCAATCACTATCAGATGTGATGGCAAAAACAATGTGACAGAAACAATCAGCACCAACACAGTGCTCAAGCTCCAACCAACCTGCAATGCCTTTGTAGGAAACTCCAGAATTCATGCTAGGAATCTAGCAGAAAAATATAGAAACATCACCTATAAAAGTCATCCAGTGGAAATTCTCTATGATTGCTGCAAACACCTGCCGGTGGATCTTCATGTGCCAGAGTTGAAACCTCTCAAACTATTTAAAATCAACATCGATGATCTAAACGTGGCACAGCATAGACTAAACCAACTTTCCGATGAACTGGATGAACTAATCCAAGAACCATTGGTATCAAGACACAGTCAACGGTTCACCTCCTTCATCATCGTACTAATAGCAGCCCTTGTAATCATTTACATTTGTTGTAAGTGTCCGCGAAAGGCACCTCCCAAACCTGCCCTAGACGAACCACAACCGCTGAAGTCTCATTCACGTCTTCACATAGGCAACAACCTTAGAAAGCTTTTACCGAAACGAAGAAACACTGTTCATCCAAATCTAGCCTCAGAATAAGATATGACCAGTCTTCACAACAATCCAGTTGGTTTTTGAAAAAAATTGTTGCAAAGCATCAACTTTTCACTTAATGGGGGAGCTGTTATATGGATTTCACGACTACATTGACCTCAAGATGCGTCTCATCACCACGGTGTTACAAAGTTTCGCAAAGTCTAGACGCTACTTCAGCAAGTTATCCTGTCTGAACATGTCATGCCAAGAACCGCTCCATCGTCGCAACGATCCCATAGAAACAGCAAGATCAACATGTTTTAAAATATAAAAAATCTTGTCTCTTTAGTTTTAAGCGTCATTATTCGTCATTATTAAGTATAGTTGAGTTAATGTCCATTTTTATTGGAACCTGTATTTTAAAATAAATTAGTTGTTTTTTTTTTTAAGAGATTTCAAGAGTTTTTGAGATAACATGTATACCCCCAGATTTAACACGCAAAACAGAATTTTGGTCCGACTAAACATTTCAGCCTTTTGGCTGATCGTTTTCGTCCGGCTAGCTTTCACTACGGTTTGTTGGTTATAGGATTATTATTAATCTTAACTTGAAGAACTAAAAACGCTGAAATATATATAGAATCATATTGATAGAAGTCTGAAACTTGTTTCGTGCTGCGTGCTGCATTATTCTACCCCCAACATACATTCCCAAAAAAAAATCATTGACCAGCTTACCTCCAAGAGCCATTCCAAGTGAAAATCAACAATTCTCTATATAAATCTTTATTTTTCGCATCCAATTTACAATAAATATCTAATACCACGGAGTTTGCTGACATATTGGAACAAATTTTCTGGTCTGGGATGACAAATTTTAAAAAACGTCTGTAAAAGGGCCTACTGTTCACATTTTCAATTCACACCTTGGTAACAAAAAATATCTAAACGTCATTAATATACATAGGTACTAATGAGGAACTAACATTACTTCTAAAAATTGACTTATAATGGGCTACAAAAAAAAAATAACATTTATTTTTATTAATGCGTTTGAGAACTTTGATGGTCAACACGTGAAAATGAACAAATTATCGCCTTCCAAAAAATAATTTACGTAGGAAACAAAAACTATTTTGCTTAGCTAATTACACATATCATAGATTCCAATTAATTTTTTTTTTTGAAATTACATCTTGATTTTTACCCTTATCAAAACTAATGAAATCTCTCATAAAAATAGATTGAATTTAACAATTCGCATTCTAAAACATAATAATGTGTAAACGTGCCATTCACCAGCATAAATTATTTTAAAAAAATGCCTCCAAAACCCAAACTTGTTCAATATGTCTCACACTCCGATTACACATTCAATAATTACTGAATCGCACTTAAAATCTAGAGTCTGTTCTCCTTGTAAACCTCTATTTGTTGTTCACATTGTTCCAAATAAGTTCTCACTTTCCTCGCTAGAGATTTCGTTTCTTCCGTGAGCTGATCTAAATTTGGCAAGTCGCCTCCTAGATCGGCTGGTAAGATATCTTTTGGGATGTATTTTTCGTAAAACTCGTCTAGGTTTGCGTTTGGAGGATGAGTAACAATCTACAGAAGATTTTCATAAAACACATGCATATCAAGTAGTTAGTATTATAATTACCATATTGAAGAGTTCCTTATTCATAAACGGTTTCAGGACCATAATAATTTTATCAAACACGTAAGAAGTGTTCATAATGTGAATTTGCTTTAGTTGAGTTGGTAAGGCTTCCTGTAGAAACTGGAAGAATTTTTTCACAGTTCCAAGTTTCAGTCTTGTGATATGCATCAATCCAACCTGAAGAGAAAATGAATTAATGTTTAAAATATGGCCATGATTGAGCGTGTTTGTAATAACCCAATTTTTTGGCACAAAAAATAACTGGAGAAGATAAGAAATTTTTAAAAATCCGGAGTTTATTCGCTTTTACAGTAGCCTATAATTTTTGGAGTGAATTCAATAGCTTCTAAACATGTGCATATCCTCAAGTAAACTAAAGGTATGGAATAATAATAATTATATAATTTACAGTGTGTTATATAATTCACACTGTAAATTATATAACAGACGATAAAACTTTAAAAAAAAAAACAACTATTGGATCCCTAGTCAAACTTACCATTACATGCATCATTATAAATCCAATAAACATTTCTATTATTTGTGTTCTCAGTTATTCTCGTTAGCGAGAACTAGAAGATTTCATTACGATGCACGTATCAAAACTTAAGAATGGAAAAGTTTACAGATTGAAGGGTCAAAAGAAAAACTTAAAAATGTAAATTCTTAAGAGAGATTTATTACTTATATGTAAAATACTGGAAACGCTACCTCCAGAATATTTTTCATTGAAATCCGGTTGGATTGGATTGATGTTAAGCGAAGATAGAACGCTGGATAACCTGACAAGTTATAGTTAGTCGCACTACTCTGCATGGACCTAAAGGCCATATAGAGCAGGGACGGAGCCATGGGGGGGTTGGGGGGAGCGACACCCCCCCCCCAAAGTTTCTAAAATAAACTAAGCGGCAGATGAAGTGGGACACTCGAAAAATTTCCTAATTTTGACTTGCTATAACTTCGACATTTCTTTGCCGATCTTGGATTATCAGGCAGGGTTACAAAGTGCCATCTTTGGTCTATGCATCAGTGTCGTCGTACATTTTTTTTAAAAATTCCTTCTCGTTCTACAGGGTGTGAATGTAACGCGGCGAAAAATTTCCATTTTTTGACGAAGAATATGGGAAAGATGGAGGGTCCAATAAAGTTCTTTCTAGTGGTGACTCGATAACTAGGTCAACATTTCGAGACGTCTTTGCCATTTTTTCGATACATCGCGTTGCTATGGAAATATGGCCATTTTATGGTATTTCGTTTTTCTCTTGAAATTAGCATCAAGTCATTCCATGATGCAATTTAAACGGAATATTATTATGTTATTGTTTAATTAAAGAATCGCAAATTTCAAGAGTAAAACGAAATACCATAAAATGGCCATATTTCCATAGCAACGCAATGTATCGAAAAAATGGCAAAGACGTCTCGAAGTGTTGACCTAGTGATCGAGTCACCACTAGAAAGAACTTTATTGGACCCTCCATCTTTCCCATATTTTTCGCCAAAAAATGGAAATTTTTCGCCGCCTTACATTCACACCCTGTAGAACGAGAAGGAATTTTAAAAAAAAATGTACGATGATACTGACGCATAGACCAAAGATGGCGCTTTGTAACCCTGCCTGATAATCCAAGATCGGCAAAGAAATGTCGAAGGTATAGCAAGTCAAAATTAGGCAATTTTTCGGGTGTCCCACTTCATCTGTCGCTAAGTTTATATCGAAAGTTGGGAAAACTTGGGTAAAAAATTTTAAAGTTGGGAAAAATTGGTAAACAAAAATGTGCGCACCTTATTTGCGAGGGCCAACGACATATCAAGCTCATAATTCCAGGATTAATAACTTCCACTAGTGGTCCCATTAACGAGTTTCCGCGATCTCCAGTCATTACACCGATGGATTTTATCTTTTGAGGATTCTTTAAGAATGAAGTTAACCGACTTTTCAGAATCCATCAGTGTAATGTCTGGAGATCGCGGAGGCCCGTTAATGGGAACACTAGTGGAAATTAATATCCCTGGAATTATGAGCTTGATATGTCATTGGATTTAGGAGAAAAAGTAGAGTTTATTAGGCATAAAATAAGAAGCTCGACCATTTGAAAAAACAAAGTTGATGATGATCGCGAAGAAACGAAACGTCTGATCAAAAATTTATAACATTATCATACTGGTGAAAAAGTGGCAATGAGAATGTGAAGTTCATTTTGCGATATCCTTTCAAATAAAGTCAGAAAAAAATAAAAACGATTTCGGCAAAATTCGGTTTCTTATGAATATCCTCGCATTCGGAATTTTCGAAATATCACAAAACATGACGCCACTGAGCTCAGTAATGCGCAACTTTTTCCAAATTTAACCAACCCTGTATCTCTTATGGTTGCCAAGATCCCTGTAGACTGCATCCTTATCCGGGACAGCCTGTATACCTGTCAAACCTTTTATCAGTTTTTGAAGTAAAACTTCTCTGATATACGAGAATATGAAGAGACGGAAAAACACATTACGTAACGTCACGTTTTGGCAAGTTTCGTTATACGAGAGCAGTGGCGTAACTACAGGGGGGCCTGGGGGGGCCCGGCCCCCCCCCCCAGACGTCGCTAGCCCCCCCCCCCCCCCCAGAAGAAACTTTATTAATTTGGTATTTTATGAAAGCTAAACGTTACCTATTATAATTCTATGTTATTACCTACTAAATTTGAACGGTAATGCGCGGCGATCCCGATCGACCCTATCCGATCCTCCGATCCACAAACGAACGGGCTGTGTGCTATTGTGCCACCCAAAGGTCAGTGCAAATTGCAATGTGCAGAAGTGATACAGTATACCAAAGCCATTAAATTAGCATTAGCGATAGAACAGATTAGTTTGGGAGTTTGACTAAATATTTTTCCTGTGAATCCGTGAATCGGTGTTGCTGATATATACTATACAGTGGCTGATAAGCTGGGTTAGCTAGGTAAGTGATTTAAGCCCGGTTTAATCAGCGAATCGCCAATAATTGCACTGTTCTACTTTTTTAAAGATTCCAATAAGTCGCAATAACAAGCCCTAGGCCACTGGCCCCAACTACATGGGGATGACGTGGGGGCATTGGGGCAAGTGCTCCCGTGAGCAACCTCTCAGGGGTGATCGGAGCTCTCGTAAGGAATGCGTACAAACGTATTTAATGGTCATTCCGTTCCGTGTGGTAGTATCAGTACCATGTACCATCGTCACCAAAAGTATCTGGGACACAGATAATGCATAATAATCTCCTGGACTAATTCTACTGTCATTCATTTCAATGCATTCAATTCTCACAGTTTGACAAATATTTGACAATAAAATGTATATAATAGGACAAGAGCTGATGTGATGCTGTCCCAGTTACTTTTGGTGACGATGGTACATATGTAATTTAAATTTACACAACTTGTATAAGAATTATACAAGTGTGGTATTAGTCTTAGATTAGGGAGGTATTAGTATTCTGTCCTTTCGTTATTTGTGGTCAATTCTATGGCTGCCAACTGTATTTTTTGTAGTGCTCACAAAATATATTTCCGATTACTCACAAATTACTCACAAAACAATTTCAATACTAGAAGCCGAACCAAACTAACCTAGACTTTGTGTACTTTTATTATTGTGCTGAATTTTTTTTTTTTAAATCGTTTCCATGAACGCATACATTCATGTATGACGTCATATTTAGTAGGGTTGTCAGGCAGTGACTGTTTGAGAGAGGTAGGTTGCTCAACGATGATACACACTACTACTACAGGATGGCCTATCCTATCCTCATAACGCCTGTGTGGAACAAATCCCCCTCTAGCCCTCCCCCCCCCCAAATCAACAGTTGTGACGTAGGCAGTTTAAACAGCTGACGACTTAGTTATGACGTCGGAAATGGGACACACCAATATGGCGGCGATTACCAAAAACGAGGGATAAGCAATCCTGTAGGTGTTTATCATCCTTGGGTTACCTGTTGCCTGATAACTTTATGACGTCATCTGGGGTGCCTCAACATAATGAAATTTCCATAAGGCACCCCAGATGCGTTATCAAAAGTTTGTTTCCACAGAAATCACAAACCAAAGTTACCTATTACTAGAAAACTTCAGGAACCTTGCCCAGGCAATCCACAAATTCAACAAAAAATTCAATTAAGATTTCATTATACAGTAGAGGAATAATATGAAATATTATTCAGAGAAAAATACGAATAAAAAAATCTTATATTCTTTATAAATTAATTGATTGCACCTTCTTATCGACGATTACTCACATTTTACTCACAAAATGGCATTTCTCACAATTTTACTCACAAAACTTGAAATTACTCATAAATGTGAGTAATTACTCACAAATTGGCAGCCCTGTATTACTTTATATTGCTAATGTTGCTATTCTCCATCTCTATTCTTTGATAATAATCGGGACATAAGGCATTTTAGGACATAAAAGTACCAGGCATAATGGGCTCTTTCACCAATTTTTGAAATTGGCATATTTGGATAAAGCAACTAAAAACAGAATTTTCTGTATTTTTACTTTTGAAAAATTCATAGTCCTTCTTGAGAAAACAGAAAAAAAAGAAATACCTCCAAATAAAAACGCAGAATTTATTTCTATGACGTCGCAGCTCGCAATTTGACCGTTTTGCCACTATTTGTCAACATTGAAAATTTGTAATAGATTTAATTCTGAAATGTTCGCAAAATATCATGAAAAGTAGTTAAATTAATTAGTTATGGATTCAAGATTTTATAACTTTTTTATTGAAATTATGCTTAAACACAATTTAATACAATTTTTTATGTTTAGTTTTATTTATTTTTTTTACGTTGCACTACATTTAGTCACCACCGACAACAGCGCATCCGAACCTTTACCTGCTTTTACTACAGGGTACACAGCCGAGGCGGTCAGCTCCTTGTAACAACAAGCGAAATGAAAAATGTTTATGTGACGTCAGCAAATCGGCGCGTTTTAAATTAATTTGTATATAGCCAATTTCGAAGCCTGTAAAAAACTTATTTAACCTTGTAGAACATTTTTTTTTGTTTATATGCCTAAAATAGTCCCTCTTTTGGGATTTTATACTTAAATTACGTATTTAAATTTTAGTGAAAGAGCCCATTATGATAATGATGTGATATTTTCATGGCCTAAAATGCGTGCAGAAAAAAGCACTT